TGATTTTGATGTAATACTAAATACTAAGGATGCTAAAGAGCAAACATCAGCCTGGCTATTAAAGAAAAGAGAGAGAGGAAGAGAATATTGATCCTGCGAAGGCCTATAAGGTTTTTGATCAACATACCAATATCTTAGGCTGTAATTCTTATTTTGATAAGAGTTATGAAAAGTGTGTTAGTTAGTGGTTTACCTAAATACAATGGAATGCCTTTCCACAGCTGATGGTGGTTCCATTTCTGCTCTTTATCAGTGTGAAGCAGGTAATCTGAGTTTTTTCATCTCGGGGTACTTGTCTGCGGTGAAGAAAGATCTGTTAATTAGAGCCTTCTCAATATGGATTTTCTTTCTTTCTGTGTGTATGTGAGCAGAATCGGTCTTTTAACAAAGCAACCAGGAAAACTTGTATTAAGTGTTCTTTGGATTTGCAGGCAGAATGCAAACTTGTCACCTTTTGTGTTTGGGAAGGAGGCTCTGTCTCTTTTGCTGATGAGAGAATTGACTGAAGAGCAAAGAACAGTTTCATAGCTGATTCTTTGCCAGCATCTTAAGCCTGTATGAAATCAATAAAGCTGGCATCTATTTTTTCCAAGGTACTTGTTGAGGGTACAGTTACCAAGGTTATATCAGCCCAGGATATCAGTGTGATTAGACATGTGGCATGTAAGCTTTTGTACTGTCTTTGGCCTTCAAGAAATGTATCAGTAATTACTGAACTAAGGAGAGTCATATTTTCAGATGGGGGCTGGGTTAGCATCTTAGTTTAAATGCATGGCAACATTACTACTCTATGGGCAGTTAGCTGGTTGTCTTTGTATGAGTACAAAGATACCGCAGTAATGAATTCAAGGTTGCATTCTTTTTAATATAGTTGGATCATGGCAAGCTAACAACGGTATTCATTCTTACTGGTTTGAAACTTCTTTTTTAATATGATATACGGTATATAATAATTAATAACATATATATGCATGAAAGTGTTGTTATCTTTACTGCAAAGGTAATCAAATGCTGGAACAAGTTGCCTGGATAGATTTTGGAGTCTTCAAGATATTCAAGTTGGGCAGCCTGCTTTAGCTGACCCTGCTGAGCAAGGAGGTTGGAACTGGTGATCTTCAGAGGCCCCTTCTAGCTTCTGTGTTTCTGTGACTGTATTTGCAGCATTTAACTTGTGCTGCTAATAGACTGCAACTGCCCGTGCCAGTTTTCATCCTGACACACTGTTTTATGACAAAATTTAAAATCCCTAGTAAAAGGTTTATAGTGGAAGTGCTGACAACCTTTTGTACAACGGTACAAATGCACCACTATTACATACACAGAAAACATGCAGTAAGGTCTAGAGTTTGAGTCTGCTCTATAACTCATGTAAGATAAAGCACTGGGAGTACTTATAAATAGCAATTATCAGTAGCAGTCTCCTGATTTTCTGAATCATGCAGCCCTCTAATATCTGCTTTTAATTTCCTCTTACATTATTAGAATATCTATTTCGTAGTGTATTTCATCTGATTTTCTTGTACTTTCAGAAATAACAATCAAAAGAACAAGTTGAGTCTACTCTGAGAGTTGTTGCTGTCTTATTTTCTTATTTTGAGATATGTTTGTTATCTCTTGAATTCTTGTAGTTCTAGGATTGTGCTTTATTTTTGGTAGAGTAATGCATTGTCCTGTTGCAGAGACAGCCCAGTAGATGCAGTATCTGTGATTTCAAACTGCAAAGCAGTTTTTTGTTTGTTTGTTTGGTTGTTTTTTTTAGGTTTTTGTTGCTGTTTCATTTTTTCCCTTACCATCACATTGGGTGGGTTTTAGAAACTGGAAACTATTTCAGAGATATTCAAAGCTGGCAAAAATTCCCCCTTTCCCTCCCGCCTGAGATTTGCTGAATTTGAAGAATAAGAAAGGAAAAGGATGTTGCACTTCTGGTTTTTGTCCTGAAAATGGTTTCATTTCTACACTGAGAACAGTGACTTGGTGTTACTTGAGTGATGCTGAATGGACCTAATTCCTCAAGTTGCAGCACACTCATTTCTCATTAATTTTAGTGGCAGTTGGAACTGCTTGGAACTTTGAAGTCAAATTAGGAAAGCCTGTTGGGAACTCTTCTGGGGGAGGAAAGGTATTGTAATAAGTCTAAAATATTTACTCTTTTTAACTCAGTGAGAGGAAAGTGGTCTGGACAGGGAGCTGAAAGGAGAATGAAAAGAGGAAAGACTCCTTGATTTTGGATTGAAGAAAGAAGCCTATCCTCCTCGTAGCCACCTGAGAGCTAAGTCTTCAAAGAAAGGACAAACATCTGCCAGTAAGAATAAGCTTAACTTGCTTGTTCTGATATTTTTTTTTTCCTTAAGCAGAAGAATATGTTGTAATAGAGGAGCGTAGGAAGAAAAGGAGGGTTGTTGGAAGATGCATAAGTAGGGAAGAAATTTTTTGTTTTATACTTAGGAAATGGCCAGGAGATCTCTGGGCCAGGACTTTGGGCTGTGGCTGCCTTGGGGCACAGTGTTGTAGGCTGCTTGGTGTGCCGTGTGTCGGCACCAAGAGATTACAGGAATAAATCTGCTGCTGTATAGACTGATCTTTTAGTAGAATTCTGGACCTCTAGGTCCAGAAATAATTTTCTAGGTACATGACTTCTTGGAAGTGTACTTCTTGATGTTATATGTCACTAATGGTCCACCTCCAATTTTCATGGGAGGAAGCTATTACCCCAGCGTCCCATGTAACAGGCTTTTTTCCACTTATTCATACTTAGAGATAGTAGTGGCTTGGTTTTGCCATTCAGGATGGCTTGAGCAGCACTCTGGCAAAGAAGCAGAGGTGTGTGTGCGTGCTTCATGTCCTTTCTCACCATGAAATATGCTTTTAAAATGTTAAACAAAGCATTCACTTGTCTCTTAAGTCTTTCATTAAAGTACCTGTTTATTTGCAGTCTGTGTTCGAATATTTTCTGTTAATGCTGTGTCCCCTTGGTCACTATTAGCATTGAACAATTTATTTTACCTTATCCATGGTAAGGATTCAGTGGCTGAGGCTGCATGAGGAAATTCTGATAAAAGCCAGGAGGATTTTTCCCCCTCTTGCACTGGTAGGGTAAAATTTCATCTGTTATCTTTGCACTTATCTACTCCTAAGTTTTAGTGCCAGATATTAAAATCATTGGTTATGTTCATTCAGGAATATTTATCAGTTTATTAAACTGAACTACATTTATTAGATAAAGTTTTAAAGAATAATGTACAAAATGCCAGCAGTTTCCCCAGGTGAGCAGTTCTTTGGACAGCACTCCTCCCTTCCAGGAGTTCAGATTTGCTGCCTCTCAGCAGTGACTAAGCACTTGCTGCTTTTTAGATTATCTGAGTACTTGTAAGGATTTCTGATAAATTTATTGCTATATAACTGCACAAAGATTTGCAGTATCCATTTTAATGGCAGGCATATCAGAAGAGACAGCTAACTTGCTGGGTATGATTGTTAACTTGGGCATGAAGTCAGTCAGCACCAATGACCAGAGTGGTTTCGTGTCTCTAACAGTGAAATACTGACTTCAAACCTCGGCAGGCAGCAGGCCTTCCTCCTGTGATGCTCTGTAAAACCAAGTTATTAAACACCCTGTGGAACCTCCAGCAGTGCCAGCTGGCTGTTAAGCCAAATTGTCTTTTTTTTCTCTATTATGAGCATAATACTGTATGGTTGTGGAGCAGGCATTCACTGGCTGCTGACACACGCAGTACTGTGCACGTGTGGAAGCATCCTCAGGAGCAAAGAACCCCATGAGTTCTGTGGTGCCTGCAGCCAGGCCGAAGTTGCTCACACTGGGGCATGCATTCATGTTCCTCTTGTCTTTGCATGTAGTTCCACCTTGCTTTTGTTCCCTTACACTGAGTGTGTGTGTGGAAGCAGAATGGGAAGATTTTACAGCCTAGGAGGAGACTGGGAGCGCTTTGTGCTGGAGAATCCCATTTGAAAAGGATGCTTTTAAGCCAAGTCAATTTTATACCTTTCTCATTTTGCTGAGGCATTTTGAGTCCTCATCACTACTGTTCCTCACCTTGTTTACTGAACTTTTAATCTGCTTCCCTGCATTTAAAGGTCCTTCGCTAAGCCTCTCGGAGCACTACCTTGCTTGCCAGAGTGCTATTAAGCTTTTGTTGGTGAAATACAAAGCAAAGTGTGCATGTAGCTGATGCACCAGAAAGCAGAAACAAAGTACAGAAGCCCATTTGGGAATAGATTGCTGCGCTTTTTGACCGAGGTTTATAGTTTCCTTTTAATTAACTGTCACAATTAAAATATTATTTTAAAATAAACTCTCCTCTTTGCAAAAAGAAGTGAGTTCACACTGTAGGGCAGGGAGAGCATATATCTGCCTCTGTTTGACCTTTGTCCTTTAAGATTCAGCAAAATTTCTTCATTAGTTGCACTTTTGGGGCTGTATAAGCCTGGAGGAGAAACATTGTCATTCAGAAGTCAATTCTGCTAACCCATTAGGAAAGCACATTCACACTAATGGTTCTACGGTCAATCAGTAACAAAGACCTACAGGAAGACATACCTGTTTCACTGTTCACTGATCTGGCAATTTGATCAATATTATTTTGAACAAGTCTTTTTTTACTTCATCTGTAACGTCTCTTTTTACAGACAGACTGAATGTGCACTATAAAACTGTACTGCAGCTGTTGCTTAAAGAACCAGCCATGTCTCTTGCAGGTTCTGAGTCCATAGGAGAGGCTCAGCTTCACCCACACAGTTTTGTCTGTTTTCAAATGAGCTCCTATTAATCTGTTGTACCCTGAGGGAGTAATAATCGTGATCTCTTTCCTGACTCTTTGAATCATCGCTGTTCTCTCCGGCAGAATTTCTCAGCACATACCACAGGATTTCCCCATGCTTCCAAAATGTTAGAGAGGCTTTCGGGCTGTTTGGAGTTGGCTGTTGTGTTCACAGAAGTGTAAAAATACAGGGATGACTCTGGGCTTACCTTTTATCTGTTGCAGGTGGCCTGTGCCTGAAGTTCTGAGGTCCATATCCCATAGTGCTGAGGAAGGGTTCCTATGGCTCCTCGCATAGCCTGTGCAGTCTGCAGACAGTGGATTGATTTGAGCTTGCCTTCCTTGGGCTGGCTAACAAGGCCGTTCAGCTTTGAGTCCATGGGATCTGCCTGGGTAAGGCATTGTCTTGAGGAAGAGCTGCTGCCAGTTTTTTGTTTTCCCTGCCACAAGCTAACTAGAAGCCAGATTTTCAAGACAAGGTAAGAAACTTATATGAAAACATTTATACTACTTTGGGTCAAATGCAGTTGCATCCAAAGAGCCAATTTTGCATAGTAGCCAATTTTGCATAGATCAGAGGCTTGTAGCAAAGCAATTCATTACTTATGTTAAGCTGGTCTGGTATTTCATAGGATGTGCAATTTCATGTAAGCTGTGTTACACAGCGACAGAAACTTTTCTGCACGCTTTGTGGAAAAAATAATGTTCTTATGCAGAGAAGGAGCATGTGTTGTGTTGGAAGGAGCTTCACAGATCATCAGATAAAATCAGGTTTATATTCTTCTGCTATTATGAAATACTTTGTAGTGTGTTTAATATTTGGTTGTATCAAATTTAAATACACTGTAGGGAATCTTTGTCTAGAAGATGTCATTTAACAATGGAATGTGATTGACTGTTTGGAACCTTAAAGAACTGATAAAATGGCACAGAGGAGGTGAAAGCAGATAACTGATACAGCCAAGTTGTTAGTAGAGTCAATACAAAATGTGTCTGAATGTGGGCAAGGACATTTTTATAAGGTTTTTACAGCAAAGAATTATGTGATTAGGAAGCTGGGGTCAAGAGTGTGACCCTAGAGTATGGCAAGTTGCATGACGTGAATGCAGAGAAGAGAATTGCTGTTGTGAACAGTGGACCAAAGGGAAGAGTGACAGCACCTGAAGAGCTATAGTAGTCTGATCTAGCAAATCAGTTAGGGCCGTCTTGACATGAAATATGAAAATAAATTTTCAGAGATTCTTGTCGTCTTAGTCTAAAATGTTTCTGTTATTTCCTGGAGTCAAGGCCAAAATGTTCTGCACTGTTCAAATTTCAGCCTCACCGGAACTAACTTGTAAATTCAGATAATGTACATGCCAGTAAGAGTGTAATCCTGACAGACTTAACAAAAAAAACATCCCCACACATCATTAGGATATTTATTCTGTGCTACTCTTCAATTGCTAGGGACTGTTCAGAATGGCTGCCATTGTCTAACACTGGTTGTGACGTGCCTGCAATTTACTGAAGTTATCGATTTCAGTAGACGTGTCCCATTTTCTCAGTCTCACAGCAATAAAATTCCATTATAAAATGCGAGTATTTCATGTACAGTCCCTTGTGTGAAGAACATTTAATAGAATAAATGGTAGAAGTGCATTTGCAGTTTATGTAATGACTACCATGCAAGAACAAGCACAGCCAAAAGTGCAGTTTTGCTGATCTGTGGGATGTATTTTACTTTACAATTCTTTTGAAAGATTCTTATTGGCACTTAAAATAGAGACTACATTGGACATGAGTGTAACTGCTTTAAGTATAGATGTTCTTCTTATTTTCATTTTTTTAATCAAGGAGAGTGAAAACAAATTGCAAGCCATCAGCTACATCATCAACCATTTGTAGACTTTCAGAACTTACAAAAAATCTTGTTTGACTTAGTAGGTGTACTTAGCATGTTTGAGGGGAGAAGGGTGAAATGCTTTTCTGCCTAGCTGGCATTGCTTACTTAACAGACAGTAACAGGAGGAGGAAGCACATGTAAGAGATGCTAAGTTGTCTTCTGTGAGTCCATCTCTGTGCTGCATCTGCAAGATCCTAGTTTAGGTGCTAAAAATCTTTATCTAAAAATAGATTATATGAATTACCCCTCCAATAATTCTTCAGTATTTGTGTAAATCTTTTTTTCTGATGCTCAGTCCTCTAACCATCTTAAGAAGCCTAATGTTGCTCCATTTGATATGGAGTAGAGGTCATTCCTGAATGTGTTTCTATTAAGAATTTTTCTCTAATTGTGCAATATACTGTTCCTTTTTGGTTTTGGTTTTTTTTTTGTTCAATGATGTCTATGTATTTCTCTTTAATTTCTCTTTTGTGGTCTTCGAATATCAAAATAGACCTCATTATTGCCTTGGGCAACTTTCAAAGTCCTTTGTGAATTGCAGGCTTGACATTAAGGCAATTATATATAAATTTTACTTTGCAAATAATGCTGTCACATGCATCTTTATTTTAATGTCATAGTCCTACCAGCATTTTTATTTCTTCTAACCCTTTTTCTTAATTTAGAGATTGGCACATTTCTTGACTTAAATGATTGCTTTATGTTGGTATCTTCTTTCTTGGTGTGAAATCACTTGGCTCATCTATCAGATTTCTTTGCTTGTCAGTGTGTGCTTTACAGCTAACACTCTTTTTCTTGCCAATTAAAAAAACACTGAGATCATAAACCTTTTTTTTTTTTTTTTTTTTTTACTCCAGTGTTACTCTTGGATAATATTCAAACAATTCCATCCAATTTTTACCAAGTGAAAGGATGCAATCTTATTCAATTTTATTAAAGGAATTCTGTATGAAGAGGTTATGAGAACAGTGAGTCTTGCCTTTTCCTAGTCTTGCTATCTCTACACCTACAGTACTAAAGTTTGTCATATTACTTCCATTCAAAAAGGAGTACTCCTTTTGTTTACCTTGCTATTTTTAAATTGGTGTTATTGTTCACATATGTACTGATAATTAGCAGCTAAGTATGCTTGAAGGATGTGGTACACAAGATGAAAAATGTCACTGTGTGTTCACTGTGGATAACATAAGATTTTCACATTGTACTTCAACATAGCACATGGCCATGTACAACAGAAGAAAAAGCGAGGCAAAGATTTCCAGTGAAATGAGGTCAAATCCAGAAGTTCATATTTCCCAGGGATGCTGACTGTGAAATTCTGTTTCTGAAGGTGCCCCAGAGAGGTGTACAAATAATGAAATACCCTCTGTGGTGTTAGAGAGTGAATGATCAACTTTCACTGATGTTTGTCCATGTCTTGCAAGCCTGACAGCAGTCAGTGTGTTTTACTGATTGCTTCAACAGAGCAGCGTGGCCTTACTTCTCAGTAAGTCTAGAAAGCCACTTCAAAACCAGCTCAGTGAAACGGAGTCCTGTACTCGCCGTGTCAGTATCTGGTGCGTGGCAGGTGCCATAGACATCAAATTTAATATTAGATCATTTAGGCCTAATTACTCTGTCAGCACACACTGTTTTGCAGTGAATTTATGCTTGTCTACTACACTTAAAAACATAGGCTTCATGTTCCTTCCCCTTCTATTTTTCCCATTCTGCATGCCTAAATGCACGTCATATCTTAATTTAAAAGAAAAAGATGACAGCATGATATTTGAGAGGACAGTAATTGTCTTTAAGATGTCAATAAAATTAAATGACATCTTTCTTGTACTAGCTTTTCCTAAGCCCAGGATTTCCTGTGTTCTTTCAGCTGCATTTTAATGGGCTTTGAGTTCATCATGTTACTGCACTGAAGATAATCTCCATATGGTGGAGGTGCTGCCAGACCTACAAGAAGGGCATTGCTGTACCTCAGCATCCTGGAGACTTTTAACAGAGTTGTAGCCAATGAATTTTAGGAATTGCAAACATAATTATGTCCTTGTTTCCTAAATAATGAACCTTTTCATATTTAACAATATTGCTTTACATGTACCATAGTTTTTGAAGCTGTTATCTGAGTCTGTATTCTCTTGCCCAGAATGAATTCTCCCAGGGATACTGTATTAAATGAGGGTGAAAATAGATACCTTCAGTGTGAATGCATTGGAATTAAATTCATAACACATTATCATAATGGTAAAGAGATTGCTAAAGAAGCTTTTATCATTTTATGTTTGAAGAGTGTTTTAAAAAGTATAATTGAACCAACAACCATGGCGTGATTTTAGGAATGTGTGATAACCAAAGTTCTGATTCCATTCATCTGAAAGGATTCTACCCAAATCCCCGAAGGCCTGCTGAATTCATGTCTATGCAGATCATGTTGAAATGATCCCTGATGTATGTGTTATGGTTTTTCTTTTTCCTATTTTTTTTTTTTTTTTTTTTTTTTTTTTTTGAAAGGGAAGGGTTTTGGGATTTGAGCTTTTTGCAACAATATTTAAAAAAATTCTCTCTTTTTTTTTTTTTTAATGTATCACTGCTTGGAATGGTTACTGTATTTCCCTCAGTTACCTTATGTTTCACTCTTTTGTTCAGTAGTGCTGAGTTACTGATATTAGAGAGCTATTTGTACTCTGAATATTAAATCTCTGTATGTTCCTTCTGAATTTTTTTAGTCTGCTCTTTGGACAAAGATACTTCTGTCCTGATCAACAGTGAGTTTAAAATCACCAGTTCCCACTGGCTTTTGTGTGCACTGGCACCTTTACGTGGTATTTAGTGTGGGCTGAAGTCTCTATCAGATAGAAGGAAGAGACTGCAGGGCAGGTGGGCGTCACACGCTAAGTGCAGTTGAGGGTTACCTCCAGGTGAGATCCTGCCATGGTGAGAGTGGGTGCAGAGCTCCCTGTGCTGTGCTCTGGGTGCCGGTATTCCTATCAGCAGGAGGAAAGTAGCACATGGTGTCCAAAACTACTCACGTTGCATTGCACACACGTTCATGCTGAGAACAGGACACTGCTGAGCAGCCCCACGCAGGCCTGGGGGCTGGAATGGGCACAGAGTTTGCCCTGGCCCTACTGTGCAGCAGATAGAGGCTGGTTATCCTAAGCTCTGCCTTGGAAATACTCTGGGCTGAAAGTAGAATACTGCTACAATTGTGAACACATTATTCTTGGCTCACTTGTGAGACTGTTAGTTTTTTGTTTGTGTACTTTGAAGTAAACTGAGTAGGAAACATTCCTTGCTTATTTCTCAGTGTAAGTAAATGCTTTTTATCTAAACAGTGAAGGTGAAGAATGGTAAAACCCTCTACGCACACATGATTTATCAGCATGAGTATTTTCTTCCTGCACAGGTGGAACCTCAAACATTTCTTTGGAAGGAGTGAAAAGCATGGCTAAAAAGAGTACCTCAAAATACCTGTCACACACAACCATAAATCTCCCTTAGACCATTCTTCTTAGCAGAACTGTAATTATACAATATATGATATTAAAATGAAGTTTGGAAACCATTTAAATTGGCAGTGCTATATGAAACCTGAAAATGGCA